GTCCAACACATAACTGGCAGAGCAGGGATTCAAATGTAGGTCTTCTCACTCTGCACCCTACAATTTTTCTTCTAAACCAGAATGCCGTGAATTGAAACATGGATATACTCAATCAGAAGATGCTCGCATTTCAAAGTTTGAGAGACCTGCCAAAAATGTTCACCTTGTATAAGCTTACATCACCAAAAAAAAAAAAAAAAAAAAAAAACTAATTACTGCAAAAAGCCACTATTTCTTTTAGGAAAATTCGCTAAAGGAAATTTTGGAATCGGAATCTATTTAAAAGTCTGAAGAAGGGTTCCCTTGATTAGGTTATAGGTACCCTATTACAGACTTATCCCCTCCATGTTATTAAATAGGAGCTTCATGGGTGGGGGGCGGGGGGGGACAGGGGGCAGTACCATCATGAACCTTCTAACCAGCTCCTGCCAAGAAACTAGGATGGGAGATGAGCAGGAGGAAGCATGTTTAGCAACTGGGAGTTTCACAATATCACCTACTTGATAAAAACAAGACACCTACTCCTGCCCTTTTGATACTTTCAAAGTCACACACAAGCAAATTCTCATGAGGACAGTTCCTTACACTCTTAATACTTTCCCAGTCAATGCTCCGCTCTACACTGCTTCCATTTTAATACTGCACGAAAAGTAGGATGTCTCCTTGTTGTTTGTGTTTTCAGTGAAAACCAGCATTCTATTCTCCGTAGCAGACCAGCCTTGCACCCTCACAACTACGCTTCAAACAACACCGGAGCCCGTAACATGAACCTATGTGATGTCTTTTGGTCGTTTCTCTCTATCCAGAAGCAGAAACTGTCCCAAAGGGACCCATCACCCATGGAGGGACGAAGAACATGGCAGCCCTAACTGACATCTGTGAGGTAGGAGCAGGAAACGAGAGATCGGAGTTCAAGGCCACGCTCCACAACCCTCCTGGTGGGAGCTTCCTTGCGGGTAAACCAATGGGGCCTGGACCAGATAGCCAGACCTTTCAAAGAAATTATTGGCTTTTGAAATCCTATCTGGAAATTAATTTGGGAATTAAGATTTTTCATCCTAGATTTAACTTGGGAATTGGGAATCACTTTTGATTTGTGAAAGTAAGACGGTGTACTAAGGACAAGAAGTATGACACACTAAAATAGCTAAAATCAAAAAGACAGTTACCTACTGATACACACAACAGCATGGCTGAAACTCAAAGTATTACTCTAAATAAAAGAAATCTGATATGAAAGGCTGTATAATTCCACCTACAGAAACATTCTAGAAAAAGCAAAACTATAAACAGAAAACATATCAGCAGTTAGGAAGGGCTGAGGAGGAAGAGGAGGGACCAAGTACAACAGGGCAATGAGGGAACGTTTGCGGATGGCGAGAATCTCATTGTGGTGGTGGGAACAAACACCGCTGAATACAACCGACGAAAACGCCAACTCTGCAGTTAAAAGGAAAGAATTTTACACTGAAAAGAGGTGTGTTTTACTTTATGTAAATTCACCTCAATAAATCTGAATTTTTTTAAAAAAGGCAATCAATCAATCCTCTATCATCTTCTACAACAAGGATATTTTCTTATTCTTTCCAAAAGCCAAGAAATGTAACTTCTAGATAAAAAGCAGCCCTTTATAAAGAACAAAGGTGTCTCTGGGAACAACTCCCTCCTTGTTTTTCTCATTTCACTTCTGGACCAGTGAAAACCTCCCCCAGGAACCGCCTGAGACCAGGTGCGGGTTCAGAACGTTGGACACGAGGGTCACCTGCGAAGCCTTGTGCAGCCCCGGAGCTCTATGAATCTCTCTCTCCCGCAATTCTCCCTCACGTGACTTTGAATGACAGCACCTTCTCAAGTTTTTATAAGGTAAAATTCCAAGTAGCTGTAGGGAGACTACTCATTATAATCTACTGGGGGTGGGGAGGCGCGCCCTGCCCTGCTGAGAGAACCAAGAACACGGCAGAGAGAAGGCGGAGCATCAGTTCCTAATACCCCTGATGCCAAGCGAACAGCCATCCTACAGCTAACTGGACATCACGTTTGTATGCACTCTAAGCCTCACTTCATTTTCACTACCAACTTCTGCCTAAGCAGCCTTGGACTTCAGAATACTTCTGCTAAATAACAAGGTCTGTTCATGACTTTAAAAGTAGTATTCCCTAATTGATCACGATAACTGTGCTCTGAGTGAGTGGTGGTAGCTCCAGTTCTCCAAGAAGGAATCCTATAGGCCCTAATAGCTAAAGTATTATTTATTTTGGTTCTAATATTAATAGATTAACCATATTCTTGAAACTACCCAGAGAATATATCGGGAAATCAAATTCTCCTCCAGACAACCTTCAAATTATCCCATTTCTTTAAATTCCCCTATTTCTTACTACCTTCAGGATTGATAACTTTATCATTCCTTGTCTCCAGTGATTAATCAAAACACCAATGCACTAAAATTGGTTACTCCCACCTGAATTTTGACACCCAAAATAAATTCCAGAGGAATCAGTGATTTAAACAGGATAAACTATCAAGTTGGCCAGAAAGTCCATTTGGTTTTTTCAGTAAAACAGAAGACACATTTTTCATTTTCCCCAATAACTTTACTGATTCAGATAGTTCGAGCATGTCAACTATCTCCCACTACTACTGGCTTCTGCACTACTAGAGGCACTGTACAGAAGAAACTAAATGAACTTTTTGGCCAACCCAATATAAATTCACTGGGAGAATGTTTCCATAATTTTGAAGAGAGAAGCCCCTTTCTACGTGATGCAAAATCAAAAGCCAAAAATGAAAGTAAATTTGCCCACAAAAAAATTAAATATTCTGCATAGCAAAAATGTGTATTCAAAGTCTAAATACAAATTACCTACTAGGAGAAAATATCTACAGTCCAAATGAGAGTCAAAGGACAAATATACTTAATACACATATAGCTACAGCAAATCAAGAAGAAAAAGATGAACTCAACAGAAAAGTGGGTGAAAAAATACAAACTGGTAGTCTGCATAAAGAAACAGAAGTGGCCAATAAACATTTGAAAACATACTCAGCCCCAGTCATGATTCTGGAAATGAAAATGAAAATAAGGGGGTCCATTTCTTACCTTTGAGACGATCAAAAACTAAATGTCACTAAGAGCCACCATTGTAGGGGGAGGCACAAAACTGATGGAAGCACACACTAGGACAACTTTTCTAGAAGACAATTTAGCAATATCTGTAAAAATTCCGAAGACATTTTATGACCCAACAATTCCACTGGCATAAATTCATACCCAGATACAAAAAGATGTTTATATTATAGCATTATGCATAACAACAACAACAAACCCTGTATGTCTGTCAGGGGAGTACTTAAAGCACTGACATCCAAAGTGAGTGTAATAGAGATCCATATGTCTAGTAGGGAAAGAATCTCCAAAATATATTAATAAGTGTGGGGAGGGGGGGTATGGAGAAAAAATGCTATACATAATAAGATCCCATTTGTATTAAAAAACAGATGTATATACAGATACAGATGAACACACACACACACATACATACACACCTTAATGTACTAGAGTGACATAGATCAGTTGAGGGCAATTATCTCTAATGATCATACATGGCAATGGTAGATATATGTTATTTTTTAAGATTTTATTTATTTTTTAGAGAGAGGAAGGGAGGGAGAGAAACATCAATGTGTGAGAGATACATCGATTGGTTGACTCTCACGTGCCCCCGACTGGGGATCTGACCCGCAACCCAGGCATGTGCCCTGACTGGGAACTGAACCAGCGACCTTTTGGTTTGCAGGTCAGTACTCAATCCACTGAGCCACACCAGCCAGGGCAGATATGTTCTTATTTTACCCCATTCTGTATTATAAAAAGTAAAAAGATACATATAAAAAAATTTAACTGCCCTGCCTACATATTTATAACATGCTGGTGAAATGTCTAGAATCCTAGTATAATTCCTGGAAAATAAAGTCAGTCAGAGGGGGGGAAAAAAGCTTTAGAAATAGGGTTCTATGATTGCCCAGATTCTACTTGGGGCAAGTCAAGAGGAGCATTAGGCTGAGAGCAACTGTACTAATAAGCAAATCAAGGAAAAGACATATCTCTAGAAAGGAAAAATGAACAAAATCCTGTGGAGATATCATTTCAGGTTGTATTTGGAGGCAGAACAGGGAGGTCTAAACTAAGCAAGACATTTCCCAGGGCCCTGAGCAAGAGAGCAGGTTACAGTAAATGGAATCATCAGAAATTTCAAGTGTGGCTCTTTCTAGCTGATGCACAGAATATGGAAAAAGACTACAATTATTTATCCTAAGTAAATCTGAACTAATGATATAAAAGGGATAGGCCTTTGAACATTAAAATTAATATTTATTGCCCTGAATAAATGCATCTTTGCAGTGATTTCCTGTATTTTCATGACTGGAAATCCTTTGAATAATCCATGAAAATGCCAACCTCCTACCTCCCTCACATCTGATCCAAGATCTCACCCTGAATCCTGAGAAGAAAATAATTCATACTTGGATGCCAAATTATCCGAGAACGTTTTTATGCACTTAGAATGCAGAAGCTCCTGGCCGAGTACTTAATCAATGTGGGGGTCTAGGTTTTATTTAAGGATCAGCGACAATAAGGAGTCTTCATGAACAGTAAATCTGACTACTCTCACTCCACGCAATGAAATCATCCATGCAAGCTTCTCAACAGACCAATTAACAGCTGCCCAAATTGTCAACACAGAAAGCAATAGATGTGTCTTTGCAGAATCAGTTCCAAGAAAGTGCCTGCGTGCCTCTTCATTCTACACATAAGCAAATCCTACTACTCTCCTCTTGGCTTTCAATGTTAATGTAGCAGGACAAGTATGAATTCCACTGCAGTGTATGACGTTTAAAAATAACATGAAAAACAGCGTCCCCAAAGAAACAGATACTTGGGCTAAAGGGTAGCCATTCAAGTTATTGGAATGCCTCCTTGCTCCCCCGTGGCTACTCACCTTAGAATTCATTTCCATATGATACTTGGCACACGCGCGAAGCTGAGTCACCCAAAACTGTCTCTCTTTTGCATCAGCAGCTAAAACAGAGAAAGAAACACTTACAGCGACTGTTCCAAAACACATCCAACCTACTCCTACACCCACCTAAGGAGGTGGGGGGGGGCAAAGGGAGTGAGGGATAGAGGGAGAAGGAAGGAAAAGCAAACACAGATCTCGATAGTCTCAAGTAGCGTGTACTTACGCCAAAAAAACCCAAAACAACAAAAAAACCCAATTACACTAAATCTCAACAGAAAATTCCCTCTTCAGCCACATTAATAATGTATTCTGAAATATCTGTTACAAGAACAATTTTGCCATTTTTAACCTTCTCTGGAAAAGTCATTTCTGCTTCTTTAACAAGGCAGCACGGGAGAGAAAACATGATTATTTTTAAGTGCCTCTGCCACATGTGGCTAATAGGAGGATCAAAGTACAGCTTTCCGGGGCCTTTTTGTTATCTACCAGGGTTGTACTGCAGAGTTATTAGCATTTACAAAATAAGCATTCAGTTGAATTACCATTTTAATATGTGCTCTCAAGGATTCACATTAGGATTCACATTAGGATTGGACAGAACAAGAAACCAAATGCCGCCTCAGAGATCCCCGTATTTCCCCCAAAGAGACATTAAAGTACAAGTCAACGGCTTCGTCATAACCTTTCATCAACACCCCCTTCTCCTCAAGCACATAAAACTATTTCCTTAAAATATTATGGATATATAACATGTCCTAATAAAATTTAAATCTTCAATTTAAGTGAACAATTAACTACATAAATATTTTAATATAATATTAACTGCACAAATGTTGACTATGCAGAAAACAGAACATTCCACTAGAAATAACTGTTCACAAAAAGTGGGCCTAAGTGTCATTTGTCAGGAAAACTCAACTTCAGCTCGATGGTGCAGGTGAAGAAATATAGAGTTGTAGACCAGCGTCAAGACCAGGTGAACTGAACTTCCAAAGACAAAGATTTTGCAAAAACCAGAGCCTCTGTTTCTCAGGAAATATGAAGAATTAATTGCCATTTGTGACAGTGCCATCCAAAGGCTCGGCACTAACAATGTTCCCAAAAGCTGTGCATCTAATGACATCAAGAGTCAACTCTCTGTGTAGGTGGGATATGGAAGGAGGCAGATGCCCAGGCCCTTGTGGGATGGGCCAGGACGCAGCCATGGGTAGGCAGAAATTTACCCTGTCTTTTCTGCAGTTGCCAAGTTTAAGTTAATTTAGCTTTTGTGATAATTTCATGTAGATAATAAAACTTTTATATTTGCTATTAAAACTACCCTTTAAAAAAAAAAAAACACCCTGGGGTTTAATAACCCAGAGGATAATAACTCAAAGGCAAAGTGAGAGGCCTCAATTGTCAACTTTGCTGGATTTCTCTCTTTTGTATGGGTTTGTGTCATTTATAAACCACAGGCGGGGGAGGGAGGAAGTGACATTAAGTCTTACCCCGGCTATTATTTCTGCTCTAACAATTTATTAAGCAATAAACAGCAAAGCAAAACCAAGGACCATATAAATCTAGCCAGCTGGAAAGCACACTGCATGAATCTTAAACAAGAACATGAATCTTAGCTCAGTTCCCCAAAACTGAAAAACTTTCTTGTTCAACTACAGACATTTTTATGTCATGGGCTTCTGGATTGTTTTATGGATTCTGAAATATGATTTCTATATAGATAATAAAGAAACATTAGCTTATTCCACCGGTTGAGAGTAAAGCTTGGAGGCGGAGCACTGGAACGGACTGAGGTGAGGAATCAAGGCCCTCGGTCAGGCTTTGCAAAGGCGACCTGTCCTGGTCAGTTCCTGGGGTCAAGGAGAAATAATAAGAGGCCTTTTCTTTGTACTTAGCCTTTACTTGGGCAAAGAAAAATGTCATAAGAATGCACAATTACCTCCTAATGCTTAATACATACTACTTTTCCTCAGACCTTAATAAATAACATTGACTCTGTGTATGTGTATACTTTTGGGTTTTCATTTGCTTTTGTTGTGTTTAGTTACTTCGTTACTGTTTTTCTGGCAATGCAACTGTAACAGAATCCTGGAAGAATGATGGAGCAATCAAATTGCTACAGTCAAATCTGGCATTCCTGAAAAAGCTGTGTGATGCATGTTGCTTGGGGGAGGGGCAGGCAGGACCTATATGACCCAATGCTGGACTCTCTCGAGCCACGCTCACTGATCAGGATCCTGGGCGCAAATCAGTTTTCAAGCAGCAAAGAGAAGGAGAGAAAGCATACAACAGGAAATTAACACCAGTTGGTCTCTCACCGGGCTCACAACAGATTAAATAAAACATAAGTGAGGAGGCCCTTTACTAAGATGGTTCTAGAGAGACTTTGAGGGAGGGCACGATGGCCTTTAAAAGGCCTGTTTTTGTCCTTATACAGCACAGAGTGCCCACAGGGCACTACAGTGAAGATTCATACTATACACTGAGCTCATAGGAAAAATCTGCCCAAGTCCTAAGACTCAGCTGGCTTTGCGATCACTCACCTTCCCTTTGTCCTTAATTCCTCAATTAGGACATGCAATTCCTAGTGTCAGGCCATCTCCCACCCTTGGGGTAAAAGAGGCAGCAACTGTGTGTCACCCCCAAAGTTGTCAAACAGAGCAAATTCTTAAAGATGATTTTTTTTGTAAAAATCAAAAAAAAAAAAAAAAACCAGAGCCATCGCCATGGTAACTAGGCATCATGTAGCCCACAAGGCCTGTCTGAAAAGGTAGCAGAAGAAGACCGTACCTCTCAGCTTATACATCTCTCCGTTAGCAGAATACACCACCAGCATGTGGGGAGCTTCGTCGCTCAGGGACACGATGGCTCCAGATAAAGACAGGGCTCCTCGAGGCTTCTGGTGCTTGCTCTGCTCATTCACGAAATACTGCAGGGTGCCAGCCTCAAAGTCCAGCACGAAGTACCTGTGCAGAGAAACCGCAATGCATCACTTTCCTCCCCCAGCCCATCGCTCACAGCAAAGAAGAAAAAGAAAGGGCTTCTTCAATTGACATCAAAGCTCCAAATCCAGGAAGCTGGACACTGAACGTCCTTGCCAGGTGCCCTCCGAGATCAGCCCGAGGCAGGAGACAGCACTCGGTGCCCGAGTCAGGACGGAGCCTGTGACGGGCACTGCAGGGAAGAGCCAGGTTCACCCAGGATTTGGTGCAATGCCCACCACTTCGCCTGGTGCCCGTGGATACCACAGTAAACCTCCGAAGAGCAGACGCTTCAGGACACAGGCTGTTGGCATGCTCCATGAAACTTCACAGGACAGCGGGAATTCGCTAAGCCTCTGCAAGGGGCCCTTTTACACCCTGAGGCTGGGTCTCCATCTCGCAGCCCGCAGCACAGGTCCTGTGAAGAGCCCAGCTCCTTGGGGTCACCTGTCAGGGAACTGGAGGTGCTTACACAACCACCTAGGCACGCTCCGGGGGGCCCTTCTAGGTATCATTCTTCATACAAACAGGTGAGAATTTCCTCCACCCTGGGAGGGGCAATGCCATTGGGCTCCACATCTAGGGTAACAAAACAAAGGGCAACTGTGACTCGCCTAAATCACTCAAATCTCTGGAGCCAAATACCTGGCCCCTGTATACTCTCAATCTATCCCCTGAGAAGCAGTTAGAACAACTTCTCCTTCTCCACTAGAACAGAAATGTCTTTGAAAGTTTCTTCTGTGGCTCAGCACAGCCCCTGCTAATGTGTCCCCCTTCTCGCTTTCTGCTCGCCCTTCCTAGTTACCATAAAGGTCCCACCACAGGACCTTTGCTCATGCTGTCCCCTCTGCCTGGAGCAGGTACTTGAAGTGTGGTCCACAAGGGTCGACAGTTTCCAAACTGTCACCAGTCCACGAGATATTTTTGAAACTTTTCCTGCCATCTGGCTTTGCTTCAACAACCAACTGCATGATCAGTGGGTTGGTGTCACACAGTTCAGATGTTGCCCCACACACGTGGCACACGCAAGCCACATGCTAGTCATGAAGCAACCACAATGCAACTGAGGCAGGGGGAAATAGCAAGTCCTTCACCACGGTTCGAGAAATACCTGCCCAGAAAACTGTCCCCACCCCTAAAGCCTAGGACATGGTTTCCTTCCCTTTTTGCCATGTTAACTTCTCAGCTTTCAGGAACAACTCGAGTCCCACCAACTTGAAAATCTTTCTCCTGACCAGGCCCAATGTTCCTCCTGGAGGCTCTCACAGCACCTTCAAATGATCCTTCCTGGCTGCGGTCCTAACAGGACCCCGCATGACTAGCGTTCCCGATAGACTCCACACTGCCTGGGGGTGGAACAGTGCCCCCGCCCTCAGGGCCCAGCACGGTGCCTGCCACTTCACTGATATTCATTCATTCATCAGCACAAGGTAACTGAGTAAGTGAATGTGGGGGGGAAAAAACCTACTTAATTCCACAATTCCTAACCCATGCTCCGAAGTACCTTGGAGTCACTACTGTGAATTCACAGGGCACTGAAAAATATTTTACACTTGAGGGATACACAGCGATCCTCAGCACACTATGCACACCACTAACTCCGGTGCTGTTCATGGTCTTGGTATTAGATTGCACTCCATCCTTACAACAGTATCGTTTCGTTGCAAAGCTGGGTTTTCAGCAAGGTCTGAGAATAAAGGCCAACACCCACGTGAAACGGGAAGAGAGGGCAATGATGCCCCCCACGTGGTTCCAAAGTTTGCAAAGCCACGCTGTGCCCACAGGTGCTCCCATCCCATCAATGAGTAACTGTGGTTATTTAACAGAGAAATAAAAATACACTTCTCTCCATTTTTTGGTTACAATTTTTTTCAAATGGCTACTGAGTTGTTAGGACATAAATCTATATAAAGTTGTTTGGAGGTAACCTCTTAAAAAAATCATATGATTTTTTTTTTAACCTACAGGCACCACAAACCAAGAAAGGTTATAAACCTCTGACCTAGTTCATTCTCACGGCAACCTAACTCGTGCCTGTTCTCTCCATCTCGCAGATCTCCTGGGACGCAAAGAAACTCAAAATCCAAGTCCTGCTTGACTGTACGTGAGGCCCGGGCTCCGTCCGCTACAGGAGTCACCGATTCGCCTTTGCTTCCCGTGGAAGTCGTCCCTTGTCACTTTCTCCACGGCACCTCTCCCGTTCCTTCTCCAAACCTCCCTGCCCCACAGAGCTAACAGCGTTGAAACCTCCTCTCCTGGCCACAGAGGTCCCCTCCCAGAGAGCAAGGTACAGCCACCTCACGCCTGACTGCCCTGGGCCCCAGCCTCCAAAACTCCAATTTCCCTAAGAAATCTCCCACTTTTATTATTGTTACCATTGCAAATGGCCTGGCCAAAACTACCTATTCTACCCCATTCTTTCCCTCCTATCGGTTGAGTCACCATAATAAAGATATACTTCTGGTTTTCACCATTAGTAAATCAAGACAAATATGAGTCACACATCAACCAGGACTATTCAAAGTATGGCCCAGCCCGGCAGGATCACCACCACCGGGGAACTTGTTAGAAATGTCAATTCTGGGGCCCCGCCCAAAACCTGCAGGATCAGAAACCGAGAAAGGGGCCCAGGAAGCTGGGTTCTAACCAGCTGCCAGGGGACTCTGAGGCAGCTCTGAGTCTGAGAAGCACTGGCCTAACCTTGGGGGGTCATTCCCAAATCCCTGTCCTGGGCTTCCAGGAGACACAGCCAGAATACACAGGTGGGGCAAAAGTGGGTTTACAGTTGTTCACATGGAAAATAATACAATAATTAATAAATAATACAAGCATAAATTCTGTTTTGCATACTCACAACTGTAAACCTATTTTTTCCTGGCCCTGTATTGCCAGCTTCCCTTGCAGCTAAGGATGTGGCCACCTGACTGAGCTTTAACCGACCAAGTATGAACAGAAGTAATGCAGGCCTGACCCATAACACACAGAGACACACATGCACGCACTTGCTCACACACACTTTCACACATGCAATGGAATGGAGACAACCTACAGGGCAACTTGAGACCCCCACTGCAGGTATGACAAAGGCACAAAAAGGAAGGTGCCTGTGTTCCTGAATCACCTCATGAAAAGTGTCACCTGCTGAGCAACACCCATATTACACTGCTATGTGAAAAAGAAAGTTCTGTTTCATGAGGCTACTAAGACCAAGATCTGTTACAGCAGCTAGCCTTACAAATTCACCAAAAATCTTTTTAACTTTTATTTTCACATCCTTCTACTCATAATTTGCTCTTACTCCATTATGTAGGACGAAAACCAAAGTCCTTCAATGAGAGAAAAACAAGGGTCATTTCTGAGCCACCAATGGTCAAGTTATTTAAGTGCTGATGCTGCCTTCCATTTAGGAGTAAATGTTTCCAACCTGACCTATATGTAAAGTCACTGTGACCCATTGTGACCCACTGTGACTATGGCTGTGCAGACACTGCTCCTGGCAAGTCACAGATATAATCTTCATGTGTAGAAAGGAAACTGGGCTCCAACTATTGCACTTGGTCGTGCCTCGCCCCGATCCCCACCCCGCAGAGCTATGGCCTCCTCCACTAATAAACATACCACATTTACACCAGCGGGAGCAGAGAAAGAATGGAACACTTAAATGGGCTCCAAGCGGAAGGCATATACTGTTGGTTGGAAGGGAGAAAGGGCTTAACACCTTTCCCCTACTGCTTCTATCAATTTATCTTTTGGGAACCTGTCAGGCTTCCTCTCTTCTGGAGGCAGCTTCCCAATGCTCCCTGTTCAAACAACTAACCATATATTTGCAAAGGACATTATTCAGAAGCTGGTACAAAGAAATGAATTGAATGCTGCTGCTATTTTTCCCAGTAAGAATGACAGAATAACCAATTGATGTCACATTATGCAGGATATGGGGACATACTAATGATTTTTCACATTACCTATTTCCAACTGACATCTTAATTCTAACCTCCTGCCTCAGATGGAAAACAAAAAACAAAAAAAAAACATATTTCCACTACTCCCTAAAATAGTTTAAATGCAAATGCACACATTTGAATCACGTGCACTGAGGATAATCAATAATGTACTCCTTTTCTAAAGACAGCTAAAAACTATTTGGAGAGGGCAATAGGAGGCTGATTAAAAACTGCAACAAATTAAACACAGTGTTCTTTTAGGGTGGCCTTTGAAAGTCAAGGTAGCTTGTGTCACATACAGGTAAGAACTGTCCAGACGGCATTACAAAGGGCAATTTCTGTTGGTCACGTCCCCCGGGAGGAAACAAATTACATTTGGTTCCCTGCAGGGTCACGGCTCTGTCCGGCACTGCTGTTGGGAGCTGGCAGCTATATCTGAAAGTCACAGCTTTCATTCTAAATGAGAAAGTTAACCGTATTTCTAGATTAGGCTTCATTAAACCAAGGGAAATTGCTTGATAAAATCCTGAAACATTCTTAAAGGGCTTTCCCTTTAAAAAATTGCCTTTAAGAGAAATGAGTAAGACAAACCTAATTTCTAGCGTGTCCTTTTGAAGTTAAAGTTGAGCTTTAGTCTGCAACCTGACTGATGTGTAAGTGAACATAATAATATACAAAGAGCATATTTTATTTGCTACATTAACAAACCAAGGGACGTGCCGGAGAAAGAAAGGAAAGGAGAGAAATTGAACCCACGAAGAGAACCACCTTAATTCTCATCAGGCCAGCGTCTTGGTGGCAGACCTGGTTCCAAAGCTGGGAGTCACAGCAAGTGGCAAGCCCCTTCCATTGAAGCACTGAGGACAAGCCATTGCCTACGACCATTCTTCAGAAAAACCCCACTGCCCTAGAAAGGACACACAAGTGCATCTACACACATACACATCTACTCATACCAGTGCCCACAGACACAGATACTCACACTCATGCTCAGACGTGCACACACTCCTACACCTACACCCACTCACTCGACCTCACGCA